CCTCGTCGAAATGTCTGAATCCCAAATGTCAAGTTTGGATCCAATGTCGTCAAGTCTCAAGTCACAACTCTGTCTCTCTCTCTGTCGTAGTCTGAGAAGTCAGGTGGCGAGAGGGTGAGAAGAGAAGGTGGACTTAGAAGGGGAAGAAGAAAAACTCTCTCTCTCTCTGTCCAGTACTAACCTATGAAGTTGGCACCTTGATGCAGGTACCATGAAGATGGAGCTGGAGCGATGGCGCCACAGGTAAGTAACACTGGCCTCCGCCAGTCTCTCTCCCACTCTACGATCTACCACCTACCAGCGCCCAGCGCTGAAGACTACAGCTACAGCTATGGCGCCCAGCGCCAAAGACTACAGCTAGCGCTAATACCTACTGCCTAGCGCTGAAGACTACTGCAGCGCTCCTCCTGAGTGCTGCGGCCGAAATCCTAAAGACTACCACTGCCTACTGACACTACCTACCCGTGAAGTGCATGGGAACCTCCTATGTACTACGGGTGTGCCTCTTGAGCCTGCCGACGGGAGGCAGGGGCTGCAGCTGCAGCTCCTGCTCGAGCACGTGAGGAACAGGCTATTTTGGGCCTGTTCCGCATCCCTGTTTCCGTGCCTGAGTCTTAGGGGCAGGTCGAAACAATGAGGGCCTGAAAATGGCCCTCCGTTTCAGGCTGAAAACTCAGGGTCTGAAAAGACCCAGAAATAGGCTGAAACGAGGTAGGGCCCGCAGGCCCTCGTTTTTCAGCATCCAGGCTGAAACGAACGGGGCCTGTAAGCCCTGAGTTTTAGGCTTTTAGGCTGAATGTCCGGGACGGGCCCTGCAGGGCCCGTGTGGCTACGCAGTATGCCACACCCCCCCCTCCTTGAAGAATCAAGCTTACCTGCGCGGGCGAAGCTGTCTGTCTGAGGGAGGGACCACAGTCCGGGTGGGAGGGGCTGGTCGTGAAGTTTCCTGAGCTAACCTGCGCTTTTCATAATGCGCTTAGATCAACGGTGCGGATGCTTTCAAATCTGCGCCTGATATCCACCGAGTGTCGTCGCGATCGCATGCTTTGAATGTGACTTTATACTGCCGCGGCTTGCTGCCGTACTTGCGATCGGAGATGACGCGGTCAACTTCCTGATGGCCATCCATAGAAGGAGGGTCCTGCGATCGTCGGTCCGGAAAGTCGTCGCTCTTGGCTGGCGTGTAAGTTGCCAGCTTCGAGGTGTGGAAGACCGGATGCACCGTCAGATGCTTTGGAATGTTGATCACAAATGAAGGGCCATCGGGCTCATCGCCCGCGGCTGCTGTCACTGACCAAGGTCCAAACCACTTGGGAAGCAGTTTGCGTGAAACATCCTGTTCCAGTGCAAACTCTTCCGCGGAGACCCAAACCAGATCACCGGTGCGGATGGGACATGATACGCGACGCCTGTTGGCTGTCTGCTGCATGCGGACTTGAGCCTTTTGCATATTCGCGCGGGCTTGAGTCAGAAATTCCCTGTACTTCCGGACGGAAGAAGGAGAGCAGGCAACGTCAATGTCGGCTGGTCGAGGGAGGAGAAGGTCGACGAAGATCCGGCCTTTCCGTCCACCGTGGTGCAACTCGAATGGAGTCACGCCGATCGCCGGATGCACCGAAGTGTTGTAGGCGAACTCGATGTCGGGGAGGCGGTCAACCCAATCTTTCTGGTCCGGACGGATGAGCGTACGAAGCATCATTTGAGCGGTCTGATGTGCCCGCTCCGTGTGCCCGTATGTGTTGGAACTCCGTCGTCATAGCCGCTTGGAAAGTGGCTGGGGCATTCGTAAGGCCAAATGGCATGACCAGCCATTCGAAATGCCCATACCGAGTCTTGAACGTGGTCTTGTAGCGATCCTCCTTGCGAATCTCGAGTTGGTGGTACCCTGACTTGAGATCCARCTTAGAGAAGAACTGGGCGCCGCCCAATCGCTCGAGAAGGTCGTCGATGCGTGGGAGAGGGCCGGCGTTCCTGATCGTCTGCGCGTTGAGCTTGCGATAATCGATGCACAACCGCAGGTCCTTGTTCTTCTTCCGGACGATGAGAACAGGAGCACCGTATGGCGATGAGCTAGGCCGAATCCAGCCTTTCTCTAGAAGGTCGTCGAGTTGTGCCCGAAGCACACTTAACTCTTCCTCGCTCATTCGGTAGATGCAACCGCGCGGAGGTACGGCCCCGTCCTCGAGGATGATCTCGTGGCGGATGGGTCGATCCGGTACTACTCTGTGCGGACCTTCGAACACGTCGCTGTAGGCGTCGAGAAGTTCGGTGATGCGTGGATCCGAAGGTGAGTCTGTCGATGAAGCGTCATGTGGCGGGAGGGCGTGGAGAAAACACACCCCCATCTCCTCGATGTCGTCTATGATGATGGAAACTCGCATGCTTGCGGCGGATACCACGTGGCAGTCGATCGAAGGATGAGGAAGAGGCACCGTGCATGGAACTAATACTCCGTTCCGGTCACAAACGTGAACGGTGCGGTTGAAGAAGTTCACTGGGTGATCCTTGCTTTGCAGCCATGACATGCCCAAGATCATGTCGAATTTGGTGTCCAGAATGTCAAAGGACACCGCCTCACTTGCGTGAGGGGCAAAGTACACTGGGACGGCGTCAATGCGCCGGTCGATGGACTTGTGCGTATGACCGTCTGCCAGGGTGACTTGCGTAGGCTGGGACTTCCTCTGGACACGTGGGCCAAGGCCGGCGCGTACCATGAAGTCCTGGCTGATGTAGTTGCGAGATGCTCCGCA